ATATCGGCAGTTACACGTTCGATTTTCTATTTTACAAGGTGGTGGTATGTATGTATATAGCACAGGTGGGACATGATATTCAGCTCCCAACTGTTCGAGAAAGTACAGTAGTGCACACATAAGCGTCCGCATTTTTGCAAACTTGAGCGCCCGTCGCTATTCCCACCAATTCTTGGAAATGGGACATCGGAGTGGAGTTCGAGTGTGCCAAGTGAAACAAAATAATTCGATATCGACTCCTGAATCTGAACAACTGACACTTGATATATCGGTATCCCACTCAGTCACATCTCTTCTCTTTTCTTTAGTTAAACTCGCAGAAGTCACCTCCCCACTTAAGCATCCGCATTCGGTCCCGACTGCGGACGCTTGTGTGCACACTACTGTATATATAAACGCGCGTGCGTGTGTGTGTTTGCGTGTATCGACTCATTCGAGAACGAGAATCTATCCACGATTTTCTAATTAACGAACGTGACAGGTGTGCACGTGATCAACGAATGCAGCCGTCACAACACCCATTTTGTCGAAGGAATACTTTCACTTAGGTATTAACTTTACGATCTACAACGACGATATATCCTCTCTTTCACTTTGGGCCAGGAATGTGTAGATTCCAGCACGAACGTTTTGAACGTTCGTTACCCAATTCTTTTTTTTTTCTTTTTTGTGGGAGATTTCGGTATTAATCTCTCTCGTCGCTATTGCACATATTTTCAAATTGTGGATCTTGCCAATCCTTGCCGTTCTATCGTCTAATTTCTCTTTAAAAAGTACGTCTTGGTTACAACGTATGATTGAAAGGAGAATCAGAAATCGACAAATAGCCACTACAGAGTCTATGTATATATCTATATTATATATACGATTTATAGAATAGAATCGTATATACGGATTATACTAAGGATTAACGATTTGAAGGAAAGAAAAAAAAACAAAAAAAAAATCGTATCTCTAGGACACATCGGCGCCTGTTCGAGGAGGGCGGTGTATTTACACGACAGTGTCGCCGATGCGTCTGGCAAATCGATCAATTTATAGGAAATACGTATATATACATATATAGCGAAAAAACAATCAATAAAACATTCGATATAATAACTTTGATAAATTTTTGTTTTCTTTTGTTTTTTACACAGATAGATATCATGTACATAATACGCACAACGACTTGTATATACAGGGTGCTGGTAAAAACAGGAAGGATTACAAAATATTTGGAAGCATGTTGTGTTCACTAGAAAAGGTTGAAAAAGTTATTTAAAATTGTTCTAAAAAGATTAGCATTGCATGGCAATATGTACAATTGAGATTGTTCTCGAAAGATTGCTACATTATTGAAACGTAGTACTAATGTTCTACTAAATCGATTGGTAAACTGTGATAAATACCGTGTCTCGTAAAATTAGTCAATAATTTCTCACACAGTCACTGTGTCGTAATTTTTCAAAATTTGGCAGTCGTTTCTTCTTCAAACAACCTAGTACTACGTCTGATGTCATAAATAATTACCTCCAAAAACGCGGGAAAAAAGTGTCACATACATATATCATCCTTGATTTTGCAGCAATAAATTCATTTTTCATTTAAATCTTTCAAGCAAGTAAAAATAACTGCGTGTGATTGTCTTCTCGTTTTAAACCTACGAATAAACTCCGTCAAAGCAAACTTGCGATTTTCTACTTCCGATAGCGTAAACGATATGCTAACTTGAACGAAAATAAAAAGACGCGAAAAAACAACGATGTCTAAAAGAAAAAAACAACGCATCTCCGTATTTTTAAACTAGATGTAACGAATTGAACGAAATAATTCGGCAACGTGAAAACGAAATACGTCTCGTCACTTCATTTTTTTTCTTCCTCGACAAAACTTCCATCCCTTTCCAATCAATCTCACACGCTTCCAAATTCAACTAAAATCGCCCTTCTCGCGACACCCTATATATACCCGTGTATACATCACAGTAAACGAGCTAATATAGGTAATCTAAGGAACTATTCGAACACTAATCGTACGTAGCATATTGCAAGTGTATCTAGCATTTTCTACGCTATCGATCGCGCCCCTTCGACCCTCCGTTGGCGAGCGTCTGGCGACCGGAAGGGACGATGGCTTCCGGTATCGGCTGGTTCGTTTCGCGGGAGCACTTGGCGCGAAACCGTGGGATAAAGGGACGTTTAACACGGAACGGGGCGCATTTAGCATGGTTAAGCTGTCCCGTGAACAGGATACGTTTTTCTTTTTTTCATCTTACACTCGCAAAAGATCGAAATCTGACATCGTCGAATTTTATCGGCGTTTATCGATGGAGCTGACTTCTACGCTCCGCGCATTTTGTCTCCTTCGAAGGATTAACGAGAAATAAACGACTGCTGGATATGCTTTCAGCAACCATCTAGTAGTCTCCTTAAATCTTGGTATTTTTTCCTCTTTTTTTTTTTCGATTTTTTCTTTTCTCATCTTAGAGGCGAATTTTTTATAGCAAGGACATTTAATTATGGAGATCAGCGTTGCGCGTGTTTCGCAGTATTATATCATCTGTGAGAACGTCGCTATTTTTAATTCTCTTCTTTTCTTCAGTTTAGTTCAGATCTGTTCATCTTTTCTGAGAAGATCCGGAAGGTTCGTTTTTGTAGTCGATTTGTTTTTTGTCAATTAGTTGGGAAGAATGGTGTGACGAAAATAAATTGTTGGACGGTAATTTAGTATCCTGTACCTTTGACGATTTAACGCCATTTCGTAATTTAGTTATCATACTAAACAATGAAATATCAACATCTGTTAACAAAAATTAATTACATCCACTGTGTCGTATACTTTCAAAGCAACAATGAAAATATCACGATAATACTGTCTCGCGAATACTATAAAAATCTGATAACGGAGGGAAGATAAAAACGAAGATATTCGCTATCTTACATCTCTTCGTCAATTCGAACGAATTCTTTCACGTTTAAATCCACAGTATATCGCTGTATTATTTATAAAACACATATTTCTCACGATCGCAACCTAACGTGCAGGCTTGCACACAAAACCCAAAGGTAACGACACCGAACGGGACACGGAGAAACGGGAAGTGTACAGGTATAGAGACACACTTGGAGACGATTTTCACGGGAAGTTTCGCTGTGAACCGACGGGATCCGAGTGACCGATTCGTGTACATTTCGAAATATTTGCGTTCGATATCTTTCCGCGTGTACAGATCTCCTTTCACGACGTACCTTTACACGCTGGTACACGCCGCGGCGCCATCGCGTTCCCGGCGCATCGCAAACAACCGCCAAATGGAAATATTAGTTCAACGTTCGATAAACCGGCGCACAACACGGGGAATCATACACCGACAACAATACAAAAATACCAAAAAAAAAAAAAGAAAGAAAGAAATAATAAACCCCCCCAAAAAAAGGAAAAAAGATCACACAATAGATGTGTCACAAAACGAACGTTGCTACAATATCGAAGATCGAACCTTCCGGATCGCCGTGTACAGGAAAAATGGCCGCGATACTCGAAAAAGGCCTCGTTGTCAACCTACCTATAGTTCATCGAATTGTGAAAAGAAGAACGTACGTAACGCGGCGTAAATACAATCGAACCGTCGATATGAAAACCACACAGTTTCCAGAAAGAAAGGACAAAGAAAAGAAAGTTTCTTCTGATTCGTTGGAACAACTCGACGATATTACAAAAAGAAATTATTCCAAACGAAAATCCTCGTGTTTTTGGTTGGTACGATGTGTGAAATACGTTCGATTACGGCCCTTTTTTTTATACATCGTTCTCACGTGCGTGTGTGTGTTTTTGTGTCTGTGTCTTTAGGTGTAGTACTTATAGATCGATTTGTGATATCTCACTGGTCTCCCCCGGGGTAGACGATTGCCTGGTCGGCGATCGTCGTCAGGCAGACGGTCAAAATAAGAAGAAACAAAGACGTAACACAACGATTATGCATGTACACGTGGGCAGAAAGAAGCGTCATGCGGTGCAGCCAAGCGTGCGTTGCTGTTTACCTGCGAACGGCACATCCCCGAAGTATTCCTCGACGTTGTCCGTCGACATGCTCTTGTCGGACAGAGACACGCTCGATAACGATCCGCTGCTCGCGTCCAGGGATCCGCCGGCCGGAAACTGCAGTAAATCCTCGTCGGTTTCCGTTTCCATGTCGCGGGACCTCCGTTTGTATACCTGCCAACAACGTAACACCCAGGGTATATATGCAATTTTTTCTTTTACGTTCCCTTTCTTCCTTGAACGATGGTTCTTGATGAGCTTAGACGCCGTTATCGCTGTACGTATTTTGTTGTACTTTTCTCTTTTTACTCCGTTCTCTCTATTTCTTTTTTCCAGCGGCTTTTTTAGTGTAACATTCTAGATCTACGTGGAAGGAGAATGGAGAAACTTTTTAAACTGATACTTTTGGCTGGTTTTTCGTTGAAAGCGTATTCTTTTAGCAGAGTGTTTTGAAGGATTCGTTCGTATTTCGATGGCGGTTAATTTTAGCGCTATTAAAGGTAAAATGAGAAGAGAGACATTATTGAAATTCGTATTTTTACAGATCTTTCATTAGAGAGTGTTCGAAAGATTCGTTCATACTTCGATGGTGGATAATTTTAGCGTTAATAAAGATAAGAGGAGAGCAGAGAAATTTTTAAAACTGGCACTTTTACAGATTTTTCGTTAGAGAGTGTTCGAAAGATTCGTTCATATTTCGATGATGGATCATTTTAGCGTAGAGAAATTTGAAAAATTGGTACTTTCACAGGTTTTCGATTGGAAAGCATATTTTTTAGCAGAGTGTTTGAGGAATTTCTTCATATTTCGATGACAGCTAATTTCTTGTTAAGAAGGCTGAAAGGAGGGTAGAAAAATTATCGAAATTGATAATTGTACCGATTTTTCATCAGAAAACAGACGTTTTTAATAAAGTGACGAACTTACTGACGATGACTAATTTCAGTATCAAGTAACATAGGACAGTAGACAAATGATTAAAATCGACATCTCAACCGGTTTTCGATAAGAAAACACTTTTTCGCCAGAACATTTGAAGAATCCATTGAATAGTGTAACTATAGACGTTCGTTAAACCCTGGGAATTTAACGATACACACGGCCTAATCAGCTGTGAATTGTTAGCAGAAGAGACTGGCAATCTAAGTTCTCAGACCTTCTGCTTCGTTAAAGTCGAACTAACTGTAAGTCGATAACTGTAAATTACACATGTTCCTCGACAATGTGGGTCACAGATGAATCTAATACAATGCAAGTTGTCGTGTAAAACAGGATGCGATATTTATACAGCGGCACAATTCGTAGTGAATTTATGCAAAGATACCCACGTGTGATAATCGTGAAAATGTATCATAATTGCAACACGTGAAATTCCTTTTCACCATTTTTCACGCCGTTATTTCGACCCTGCTACTGTTTCAAAGGTAATACGCATTCGACGTTACTAGGAGAGGGGGGGGAAAAAACGGATCAAAAATGACATTTCGCGCGGTAACGTTCACCAGCGTACACACAGAGATTCATCTCCGCGTGTTGTGCAACCGTGGAAAACACGCGTTGGCAAATAAAAACGATTCCAATCCGATAAAAATCTAACGGAACGGATCACTTGATGCGATTATATAAAATAAACTTGATAAAATATGAATCGGAGAAATAAATCGCGCCAGAGATATGTATGTATATCGGCTGCCCTCGAACAGCAATTTCAAGCGTATCCAGTCGTTTAAGGATTATTAAAATTTTCGATTTACCGAATCAAAAATGCACCGTTGTCGTTATTTACAAATCAACCTCCCTTCGTACACGTTACACACCACGATAACCGTTCAATGCTCGCAAACATTTGAACAACGTCCACGCTGATAAGATAAAAAAGTTTCGCGAACCTTCTTTTCGTTTCTTTTTCTCACCGAGGTATACGCGAAATGTAAAACGAGTGACTGGAACATTCTCGAAGTTGCAATTTTACGTGTAACAAAAATTTCACCCTTTGCTTGTCGGAATTAACACTTTAAACGCGTTTCCACACGTTCGTGCAGAAGGAGATATGATATCTCTTGAACAGCAAGTGGCTGAATATTTATATCGTTAAAAATCGTCGCTGTGCCTGTAACAAGCACCGTGTCAAATTTTTCAATAGAAATTTTGTGTTCTACAACAGTTGTTTTATATTATTTTGTAAAAGTGCTTGCTTCTACGAAACTCGTAAACATTGTAGCGCTTTAAATAAAGTCTGCAACAAAATAGCGGGCGCTTTAATTCTTAATTTTCATTTGAACGAACACAAACTCGAAATTTATAATTTTCTTCGTCTTCACGTGTGTTCAACGCAACACGTAGTTTCATTTTATCCAAACATCATATCTCACATTTCTCCGTCGTCTGATAAGTGCGCGAAATCAGAATAATTTTTTCTTTGGCAGCTCAGAGCAGACATTCGACAGCAAAGGGTTAAAAATTCGACGAAAAAGAGCTTCTAAACCCGTCTAAACTCATCAACCAACGATTGCCTCCTTCGAAAAGAAAAAAGAAAAAAACCGTCATCGTCCATTCGTCTCTACACTCGGATAAAACACCATTTACCCAGGGACGTTCGACAAAACTTCCCACAATTTGAACCCGTGAAGGAGCGTCTGAATAAAAAAAAAAAGAGAAAGAAAAAGAAGAGGAAAACACTCGAGAAAAGTCGTTTCACCGCGAGAGAGAAAAAAGAAATACGTGGGCGCGTATCGCGTACAGTTGATCCGCGAAGCCGCTCAAAGGCTAAACGGGGGCGAGATAAGATTTCGTCGCGTCGCGGATCGTCGTTTTAACGCAATTAAAATTTGACGCCAGCAAAGTCGACAGACGGACGGAAACGGAACGGCGACGGGCGGTCGCATCTCG